AAGGCGATTCCTTATCGTGCGACTTTTTCAACCTGCTTCTGGAGAAAATAGTTCGAGCTGCAGAACTAAATAGAGGAGGTACCATCTTCTATAAGAGTGTACAGCTGCTGGCGTATGCCGATGATATTGATATCATCGGCCTCAACGCCCGTGCCGTTAGTTCTGCTTTCTCCAGACTAGACAAGGAAGCAAAGTAGATGGTTCTGGCAATGAACGAGTTCAAGACGAAATATCTCCTGTCATCAAACAAAAAGTCGTCACACTCGCAACTTGGCACTCACGTCACTGTTGACAGTCATAGATTTGAAGTTGTAGATAATTTCGTCTATCTTGGAACCAGCGAAAACACCACCAACAATGTTAGCCTAGAAATCCAACGCAGGATAACTCTTGCCAACAGATGCTACTTCGGACTATGTAGGCAATTGAGAAGCAAAGTCCTCTCTCGACAAACAAAAACCAAACTCTATAAGTCACTCGTAATTCCCGCCCTGCTATATGGTGCAGAGGCTTGGACGATGTCAACAACGGATGAGTCGCCTTTGCGAGCTTTCGAGAGAAAAGTTCTGCGAAAGATTTATGGTCCTTTGCGCGTAAGCCACGGCGAATATCGCATTCGATGGAACCATGAGCTGTACGAGATATACGACTACATTGACATTGTTCAGCGAATTCAGCGGCTACGCTGGCTAGGTCATGTTGTCCGGATGGACGAAAACACTCCAGCTCTGAAAGTATTCGCAGCAGTACCCGCCGGGGAAGCAGAGGAAGAGAAAGACCTCCATTCCCTTGGAAGGACCAAGTGGAGAAGGACCTGAATTCACTTGGAATATCTAATTGGCGCCACGTAGCGAAAAGAAGAAATGACTGGCGCGCTGTTGTTAACTCGGCTATAATCGCGTAAGCGGTGACTACGCCAATCAAGAAGAAGAAAACAATTTTATAGAATCCTCGTCATTCCCTTTTTTTCTTTTCTATAAAATTGTTCAAATTCACCAATTGATAAATTATCTTCTTTTCATGGATATGAACATTTTTTGACTCAAGGAACTGCATTGCTTGCACAACTTCTCCATAACGAACTTCTTTTGATGTGCGATCAAATTTCAACCATTGAAAAACTATTAATTTGGACAAGGATGAAGTCCTTTTCAACAAGTATTCAAGAGCTTCCTGATAAACATTGACGGTTCGTTCATGGAAACCGAGGCATTCCTTTTCTTTTCCTTCTTATTTCAAAGTGTCAAGAGAGTAAGAGGTAAAAACTTGTGCTTGATTCTCTCGCGCAAGGAAATAGCAACGGATTCAACTATTGAATTAATTTCAAGAACCGTGTTGCCATCACTTTCTATTGATGCTATTTTACATTTTTAAAATGAACATAAATGAGTGGACAAACAAAAGATAGCTTTCAGCCAAATCATCAGAAAAGAAATTTTCCACAAATATTGGAGGTTTTTGGATTGATAAAAAGTAAGCTTTTAATGTAGGGAACAGTTTCAGAATTCGTTCCACTGCGTGAAACAAACTAAGCCAAGTCTTTCTGCGTGAAAGTGAAGGTTCATATTGAACATCAACGATCTCACAGAATTCTTTCAATTCAGTTGTTTTGACAATCTACACCGAGAAATGCTTGAACAATTTAAAAACGAGGGCATCAATATCATATTTTCCGAATTGATCTAATCCATGGTGGTCGCAATTATGAAGAATACGAGCAGGGCAACCAACACCAATGACACCAGAGCTTAGTTTTTCTTTGAGAATAACGTACGAAGAAGAGGTGCAGTACAACCCATTACATTATAACTAGAGTGGTGTTTTACAGTGTGAAATGCCAGAGTTCCTTCTGCAGCCTAGACTTTAAGTGCCGTTGGAGATGATTTTGTGACCATGAAAGTATCCAAGGATTGCGATGTTGAAGAGGTTCTCAAGTTTTTTTTTATGTTTCTCTGAGTTGACGTGTTTTCTTAAATCATAAACTCCAAAAAATGGAAACATTTAAACATTCCAACTATCAGCTTGCAAATCAGGGTGACGAGTAGAGTTGAAATCCGGATGTCTGTCTGTCCGTCCGTCCGTGCAAGGTGTAACTTGAGTAAAAATTGAGATATCATGATGAAACTTGGTACACGTATTTCTTGGCTCCATAAGAAGGTTAAGTTCGAAGATGAGCAAAATCGGCCTACTGCCACGCCCTATAAGGTGTCATAACTAAGCCATAAATAAAGATATTAAAATGAAATTTGGCACAAAGGATCGCATTAGGGAGGGGCATATTTAGACGTAATCCTTTTGTAAAAGTGGGCGGGGCCCCGCCCCCTACTAACTTTATTGTACATATCTCGAAAACTACTATAGCTATGTCAACCAAACTGTATAGAGTCGTTTCTTTTAAGAAACACTAAATTTTACGGAAGAAATGTCAGAAGGAAGCTGCATCCAGGCTTTTTTTAAAAATTGAAAATAGGCGTGGCGTCGCCCACTTATGGACCAAAAACCATATCTCAGGAAGTACTCGACCGATTTCATGAAATTCGGTATATAATATTTTCTTAACACCCTGATGACATGTATCAAATATTGGTAAAATCGGTTCACAACCACGCCTGAAATCTCGATTATCACTTTATCATGCGAGAGTATAAAATGTTCGGTGACACCCGCATTTAGCCCTTCCTTACTTGTTAATACATATTTATTTGCTTAAACTTCTTAAAACTACTTAAAATCTATATGGAAGATCAAAACTGTAAGTTCGTTTTAAGCGTCTAACATCCATACTGTTGTCTAGTAAATTTATTGCCAGTAAGTTTTCATGATAAGACAATCTATCTATATACTTTTGACAAGATTTGCTGATTTCGTCTTTAACAAAAGGTATATTTAAGTCTTTGTGGATTTCGAAGTTGCTCAAATACCAAGGAGCTCTTACAATGCTTCTTAAAGTTTTCGATTGATATCTTTTGAGGATTTCAATGTTGGATATACTCACCGTAACCCATAACTGCATTGAATACGTCCATACTGGCTTAAGCATTGACTTGTAAAGTCGTACTTTATTTTCAAGGCTAAGTTGTGATCGCTGACCTAAAAGCCAGTACATTTTTTTAGTTTTAAATTTAAGTTGCTTCGTTTTTTCTTTTATGTGTATCTTCTATGTGAGTCGTCTGTCCAAATAAGGACCCAGGTATTTCACAGTTTCAGGTATTATGGAGCCAATTAACGTTACGGGGGGACATTTCTCAGTTCTTAACGTAAACGTTATTTGAACAGATTTCTATGTATTTAGTAGCCATTTTTCGACAATATTAAGTTGTTCTTGTAAGTGAAGTGAGGCATCACTAGGATTAAAACTGGTGGCTATAAATGTAATTTAAAATTCAAATTATTACGGTTCATTGAAGCAAGATTTAGAAAACAGAAAACGTGCATTTAATCAAATTTGCATTTGCATTCTATCAAACGTGCATTTAATCAACTATAATACAAGCGAGAAAAAATCTCTAGCTTTTAGAAACATTCAGGAATTTATATATAAAAACAAGTATTATTAATCTTAGAAGAGGCACCCACCGCCATGAGCAAAAGAAGGGGAACAAGAACAAACTTCACACTTCACTTTTTGCTCGGTTTTGCCCTGTACAAAGCAAGGGAATTGTTTTTGCAAAGCGGACGTAAAGGCATAATTGCCGTTCCTTTTCCTTTTTGCTTCAGTTGCCATTGATAACTGTAAGTACTCCAAATATTATCTGTAAAGTGAATTTAATTTCCGAAATAATTTCATTTCACATCATATTTATAACCTCACAAGTCTTTGTCTGTACACTTACCGATAACATGGGAACGTCGACGAATACCAAAAGTTTGAAAAGTGGACCTTGCAATATAATTACATTCACAGCCGTTTTGGGGAATGTTTAGTATCGCACCGATTAAGTATCGTTTATGGAGAAAAACAGGGTCGGGCTATCCCCCCTTCCGACGCCTTATTGGAAAGAGGAAGGATCGAACTTTTTAATAAACCCCCCGTCGACCCCCTAGATCCCCTATGGACCTGTAGGGAGGCCTTTGAAAATGACCAAAAATCAGTGTTTKTGCTCATTTTTCCATACAAACTGAAACCAATGCAACCCAGCCAACATTTTTGTATGGACAARAAATCAAAATAAAGAAAGCCAAAATGTTTCAGTGCAATGTATATGCGTATATAATTGCATCTATCCTTCGGCCGCGGTTTAAAAAAATAACTTTGGCCGGTCCAACACCGGCTACGCCATCCACAGTATTTTTGCATTGAACACCTTTTCCTCCACAGTATTTTTACATTGAACACCTTTTAATCCACGGTATTTTAGCATTTCATTCCTTTCCGTACTAGCGGTCTTCGGCCGCGCTTTAAAAAAATAAAACCTGGTCGATCCAACACCGGGGTGTTCAGGGTTCTTCGCGTAGAACTCCTTTATGTACTGGAGGCCTTCGTCCGCGCTTTAAAAAAATAACCCTGGCCGGTCCAACACCGGCTACGCCATCCACAGTATTTTTGCATTGAACAACTAAACAATCAAAAGTAATTAAAAACATTACTAGTGGTTTTTATAATTCATAAGTAATATACATATGTGCGTGAAAATGTATCCATAATTGGTTTGGTACCATGCACAACAGATGAAAATACACTAGCATATATTTAGAATTTTGCAAAAAATAGCATTTTTTTAAGTGAATTTGTGGAAAAATTTGTCAACCGATTTTTATAAAATATATTTTAAAGCAAAGTTCGATAATTTAAGCATACATGCGTGTTTAAAATTTTCCATTTGGTTCTCTCGTTTAGGTACGGTGAGCCAAAATTAACCGGCGCGATACTAAACACAACCCGCCGTTTTCGTTCCACAAGTATGTAAATTAAACGAAAACACGATTGAGTTCAATGAATTATAAACGTGGTTGACAATGGTAGTGGCTGTGAATAACAGTATCGAAAGTCTCGATAACGATCGATATATTTTGTCTATTTTCATCCGATTTAAAAATCGTTCGGTGCGTTTATAGAATGGATCAAAAATCGAAAAAAAGGCGTTTGCGCCGAAAATCAGTACACTTCATTGACAAATCAATATATCAGTACGGGGGTCTAAAAATCAATAACCCTAAACAAATGTGTATTTTAATAAATATAGATATTGCTGCGTGTGAATTTTTTAATTAACTAATTAAATTTTCTTTCAGATTTTGTGTTTATAATTCTAATTCTGGCCGACGAGAGTTTTATATGGAAAATCGAGCAAAAAAGCTTTAACTAAATTAAAAATAGCGGATATCTAAACTATTTAGATACGTTCACATTTTTAATTATTAATGTTTTACATATAGCTGCATTTGCAAGTATGTATGCACATTAACAAAATTTTAGCAATAAGACATTAGGGGGATTCTCTTGCTCTTACAAAACCCTTGCACGGTGCACGAATTGCAGAACTTTCCTTTTGATCAACGGCACAACAACGAACACACGCAGAAAATTATTTGCAATAGCTGTAAAATATGTCACACCACAACCCATGTTTATTTTCGTGCAAGGACACGTAAAAATATAATTGCAACCCTCTTTTGCCGTCATTTTCCATTAAGACATATTTCGCCGTAAAATTGTTGAAGAAGGTAAGTTTTAAATAGATTTTATAATTTCTTCTTAAATTATAAAGATTTGTTACAGTTTTTTTACTAAGAATGAATGCAGGAAGTGTGCTAATTCACGCAATAGTCATTCTCAATGAATTGCTCGAATCAGCCGTTCTATATCACTATATTCTGCAATGGGTGCTCATATTTCGGTATAGGATATTTGCATTTTGCAATCTTGCAAGAGGAAGAGAGTCCCCCTATTATGTTAGTTTAAACCACAATCGTTATAAGCAAATTAGGCGTAATATACGGAAGTAGATTTATTTAAATTTAATTTAAATTTTTTTTTTATTATATTAGTATGGGTTAGTAATGTTATTTATTATATAATAATAAAATGGATGGAGTCATGGGTAGAAGTTCACGCAAGTGAGGAAAGTTCTCTGATCGCCATTCACTTGGGAGTGGCCAGAAACGATTCTTTTACATATGACTCAAGCCAAGAACATCCGTTTGACGGCGACCTAAAGTGAGAAGGCGAAATATCCCCTACATAGGGTTGTGCGCTGGGTTTGGGACCCGCCACGTAAAAAAAAAAAACAAACCCCGTGAATAGTTGTAAACAGCCTCGGATGAGGCTGTTGTTAACTCGGCGTCAGCGGTGTCTACGCCAATTAAGAAGAAGAAGAAAATTAATTCTACACTCGGCGAAAAAAAAACCACGCACTTTACAGAGGGGCTTTAAATAGCTCAAAACTGAGAAACATGTTATTCTAAGTTAAACATTTTTCTTGGGGAGTCAACCACTTTTATTTAGTTCATGTTTCAAGAATTTTTATGTAAAATACTTATAGTTTAAAACTCGTTTTATTGAAAAATTTAAATACACACACATAACAGACCCTACACTAAAAATTTGTTATGGACAATAACGTGATTTTTAAAGAAGTTAGTACCATTTATGTTTTATATGATCTTTATTTAGCAATTGAGTACATAACAAATCAAAATAACATTTTTTGTACAAAAATGTTCTTAGTATTTTGTTGAACCCCCCCTCCTCCTTATAACCTCGGCTATTCGCCTAGGCATGGATTCAAACAAACGTTGAAGATAATTTTTGTCWATTTCTTCATTCCACACAACTTCAATAATTTTTTCCATTTCTTTTAGACTTTTTGGACGCTTTTCTTTTATCCTTTTGCCCATATAATGCCAGCAGTTCTCAATTAGATTGAGATCTGGACTGTTTCCTGGCCAAGTGAGAGACTCAATTCCATAAAACTCTTTTTGTTTTGTAACCTGTAAGTGTTTGTAATGAATTATTGAAAAATGTATTTCAATATTTCCATGCCCATTTCACGAGCTATTTGACGCTTGGATAATTTATTTTTATATAAAGCCACTATTTTTGCTTTATTTTCTATTGACAACACCATGTTCAACTTCACTTATTTTTACAACTTACTCATACGAAACTACCGCAAATACTGAAAAAAACACGTGCGGAGGCTAACAGTTTTAGAAATAACGGTAAACTAATGTATTCACATAACAGAAACGAAAAGTAAGACAAGTGGTCAATTTTGAGCAAATAGTGAAAGTTCTAAATAGGAATATTAGAAAATTTTCGACTGCGTGGGTTTTTTTTTCGCCGAGTATAAAATTAAAAATTGTATATAGTTGTGCGTAAATTTGTTTTAACCAATATCAATCCTATTAATTAATATTCCTACAATATTTAATATTTTCACAAATTTTCTTTTATGTAAATAAAAACTAGTCATGCGCGCTGTATTTATGTATTTTAAACTTCGACTAAGTATTTTTAGCGTACTATATAACTATATATGTACTTTTTCTTTATGACAGTTTTTTATTTAGTATTTGCATATTTCATTGTGGTGGTTCTCTTTATATCTGTGCATATTTGAATTTTTGAATTAGAAAAATGGTGTTTTAAAATAATTATAAAAACTATAAAACATCTTACTAACTTCATTTGCTTCTCAATTGCCTACTCAGTCCGAAGTAGCACCTGTTGGTAAGAGTTATCCTGCCTTGGATTTCTAGGCTAACATTGTTGATGGTGTTTACGCTGGTTCCAAGATAAATGAAATTATCTACGACTTCGAAGTTACGGCTGTTTGTGTGGTGACAGGAGATATTTCGTCTTGCCCTCGTTCACCGCCAGACCCATTTGTTTCGCCTCCTTGTTCAGTGTGGAGAAAGCAGAGCTAACGGCGCGGGTGTTGCGGCCAATGATATCAATATCATCGGCATACGCCAACAGCTGTACACTCTTATAAAAGATGGTACCTTCTCTATTTAGTTCTGCAGCTCGAATTATTTTCTCCAGAAGCAGGTTGAAGAAGTCGCACGATAGGTAGTCGCCTTGTCTGAAACCTCCTTTCGTCAACGTCAGTTTACACAGCCGTATTAGTTTTGCAGGGATTTTATGAATTGGGCATGGCACACTTAAATTACAATCGTTGGGCATGCTTTTGTCCGACCATATTTTACAAAGAAGTTGATGCGTGCTCCTATCAGTTCTTCGCCGCCGTGTTTAATAGCTTTTTTGTTCTGCAGGCGGGTAATTGCTATTCGAACTTTTTCATGGTCGGGCAATGGAACGTCTGCTACATCGTTATCGAATGGGGAATCGGGTTCGCCTTCTCCTGGCACACTTCTTAGTTCAATAAATTCAGACATAGTCAAAATTGAAGAACCCATTATTAGAGCCTCACAAAACAACGCGTATCTAATGAATATTTTGACGCTAAATTTGACATAGATGTGACTAACAGTACTACCAAACTCGATATGAATTTAAGGACTACAATTTGAGGGCACGCACCTGGAATGTCCGGACCGGACTGGGACCTAGCTGGTTGATGTCCTGGGGACAATAAAGGCTGACATCACCGCCGTCGAAGAAATGCGATGGACGGGATAATTACTGAGGCGAGTAGGTCCTTGTAGCATTTACTACAGTGGCCATATAATGGTGCGAAAATTTGGTGTGGAGTTCGTGGTAGGAGAGATACACCATCGCGGTGTTCTGACATTCACCCCGGTGGATGAAGGTCTAGCCACAATCCGCATCAAACCGTATATCTTGAACATACCGCTGATTTGCGCCCGCGCCCCGAGGGAAGAGAAGGGCGATGTGACCAAAGATGCCATCTATGAGCGCTTGGAGCGCACTTATAAGAGGTGCCGCCGCCACGATATTAAAATCGCTCTTGACGCCTTTAACGCCAGGGTGAGTAAAGAAGGTATTTTTGGCACTACGGTTGGTAAATTCAGCCTCCATAAGAAACATCCCCCAATGAATCCAGGCTGATCGACTTCGCCGGGGCCCGAAATATGGTTATCTGTAGTACTAGATTCCAGCCTAAGGAAATTCATCAGACCATCTGGCTAGCCCCGGATCGAGAAACTACCAACCAAATCGATCATGTTGTGATAAACGGAAGACCCGTCTTCAGTGTTTTAATGTGCGTGCGCTCCGAGGTCCTAACATCCACTAGGGCCACTACCTTCTTTCAGCCAAGATGCGCACTCGCCTCTGAGCAGCGAAAAACGCACATCAATAAACATAAGAAAGGTTCGACATTGAGAAGCTGCAATCAGAAGAGACAGCTGAACGATGCGGCGACTAACAGAAGGTTTCAGAAGCGGAACCCCTAAAGGTGATCTAGTGACCGATGGCCAGAGCATACTTAAATTATGGAGGGAACACTCCTCCAGCCTGCTGAATGGCAGTGAACGTACAACGCTGTGAGAAAGCGAACCCGATACCCTAATCGATGATGATGGAGCATACGTTCCATTGCTCGACCATGATGAAGAATGGACATACTAACCACCTTGGCCGGGTTCGAGGCCCATCTAAAACCTCTGCCGTGCTTTGGGTCCGGCACTCGATTGTAATGCAACTCCACATTCAACTGACAAAGTCAGTTTTTCCCGCATTTGGGTTCTAACCACAATCACCACGATACTCCCCGAGGGGCCAGTCGGCATGAGCAGGTTGGAGTAGCCTCCGAGGGCTCCTGCTAACCGTGGTACCAGACTTAAGTCTCGGGCCAGACCTCGTAGCCGAGACTACTAACAGTTAAGTTTCCATACCGCTCTAGACTGGTGGCCAGCGGTTGGACCCCATACATACATCACATACACACACCAATCACACAAATCTAACCCTAATTTCCAGCTAACCGCCTTCGCCGCTTATATAATTCACGCGCAAACAACCCTAAGTGTTTGGTATTCCGACTAGTGGAGATCACACCACTAGCATCTAATCGTCCATCGGTCCAGCTAATCCTCATACCACCCAGATCGCTAATGTCCGAGTACATCGGGCACTCCGCAATTAAATGCGACCAATTTTAAAATACCGCCCCACAAAAATACCCCGACGTATCCGATAAGCCCTTCTGATGCAAAAATGCATTCAGAGGCCCATGCTCCGTAAGCAGAAAACCCATACTCAGACAAAATCTGAGTTCTTGCCACCTACACCTAACCCTATCATCTAGGAGCTTCTTGCTCCCTAGATATCCCTCAAGATATCCCAGACACTCGTGGCTGCCTCCCACCATACAGGGGCTCCATATGTGGTGATATATGGAGCGGACAGCACGACGTCCGAGACCCCAATCGCTCCTCAAAATGCGCCGTATTTTGCCGACGGTTGCCTGCAGTCGCCCCTTCACATACGCCAAGTGTGGAGTAAAACACATCCTTTCACT